GCAGAAGTGGCAGGGGGCAACACCTTGAATAGCAATATAAAGTAACAAGTGACAGAATGAGGCCCCCACAACTGGGAAACAGAATTTAGAAGAAAACTTCCAAGACAACGTTCAGAAGAAGGACTTAATAGAGCAGGGAAGAAGGGCACGTTAGAAGATAATAGGATAAAAAATTTATGAAAAAGCATGCCCAAGGAAATACTCAGAATGGGGTGAGTGAATCAAAATAACTACAGAAGGAAGAAACTAAAAGACTGGAAAGGTGCATTCTGGATAACCAGAGTCCAGGATACTTAATTATGTAGAGGTTTAACTGGTAAGAGAGAAGGTTCCTAGAACATTGAAAATGTTGATTAGGCTGAAGGATGGGGAAGATGACCAGAAACAAAGGCACCTATAAGAAGAGTGATAAATAGTCTCCTGCAATCTAGTGAAGATTGATATATATCTGGGTTTTTATCCAAATACGCTAATGACCACAAGTACCAACAGAGATTAGGGAAAAGTCTGTTTAATTATAAATCAAACAGAAACCTAAATAAAACCACCACCTGGCATTTATGGAGAATCTTTAATCCACCTATTATTCCATATATTACTATTAAAAAAGTGGATATGAATCTGAATCTCACTAACATAAAATGCCCCCAAAGGCCAATTTTGTTTTTTTTTTTCTTTTCCTGTGCCTTTGGCAGGTATCCATTTTTAAAGTATTCATCTAAAGTTTCCTGCCATAAACCTTCACATTAAAACCTTGCTATTAAAGGAAAAAAAGTTGGTAAATGGCAGAAATTTGGTTTGATCAGTAGAGTTCTACTGATGAATGCTTTTCTAATAACAAAAGAAATATTTAAAGCATATGATACCATGCTCCAAAATACTACACACAGAGCACAATAATTTCATCATTGGTAAGTACTCAAAGTAAGTACTCTTAATTAGTTAAGGTTTAATTTGCTTAAGGAAAATGAAGAATATTAATTATTTTCATTAGTGATATTATCTGGGCATAATAACATATGAGAAGTTAAAGGGACTTTAGCAGTTAAGACAACTACTGTTCAGGAGTATATATCTTAATAGATATTATTACTATTATTCCTTAACAACCTCAGCCGTTGCATGTAACAAGTGTAGCATAGTTTTCTGTTACTCTGTGACCTAAATAAAACTGAACTCAAGAAGTTATAAACATATAGAACTCAAGAAGTCTAGACATAATCCCCAAAACAATTGTGATTACAATGTCTCATTAATGTACATATGAGTACTTTTAGAATATAATATAGGAATTTGAAATTCAAGATGCATAAGAAAGCATCACCTTTAGCAATGCTCTTAGCAGCTGACATTCTTAATTAACAAAAGAATGTGGTCATAGACAGCTGGCTAATACACAATCCTTTTTATCGACCTTTTCTGTAACTGTAGACAAATATCCAGCCAGAGTACTAACCCACAATTCATTGACATAAAGATCTTAGCACAGGACACCAACACAGGACATTGTGGAGCATACAAGAGACTAATGAAAAGGGTTGCTATAATAGACAAGCTTTGCTCAAGGTCAATCAAAGATATCTAAACATGTATAGGTTGTAAATGCATATTAATGATGTACAAGTTATATAGAACAAGGTACAGAAGATTTCCATGTGCCCCACCCAGATGAGACTATTATTTGACATCTATTATTTATCATAGCTTAGTTTTATCTGTCCTTGATCATCAAAAAAACCATGACACAACTGCACACTAGTGTCCCGTTTCTCTTACTAAACATTAAGACTGTGAAATACAAAAATGCTGTTGTATGCATGTGCTGATCATCTTTTATAATTAATGGGTAATTCTCCATCAAAATTCATCTGTCTCTTCTACTACTGATGAACATTTGTTTTGTTTCTTGTTTGGGGTTGTGAATTAAGGCACTGACTGCTAGTCCCACCTTCTTTAGATCTGGATGGACATATGTAGTGTACGCATTTTTCTTGACTATGCACTTAAAAATGCAACTGCTGGCTCATTAGACAGCATATGCTCAGCTTTATTAAGTTCTTCCAAACAGAATTTCTTCTGAAATATTAGTGAGAAAAGAAATATCTATAATCGACATGTAGAATGATTTGTTTATAGTTTTTTTTTCTTCTTTTATAGCACATAGATTTAAAGGAAAGTTAGATTCTGGTATAATGGTTCTATCTCAGCCCAAATATCAGAATCACCTAGGAAACCTTGATGGTCCTGCCCTTTGTCAAAGGAATTTATAGATCAATGAGGCTGAGGAACTCACAAATCTGATGATATAAAGAGAACCACCAATGCAATGATGAATGAGTTAAAAATGTATTTCTTGGGAGAATAAGGAAAGTTATACAAATATAAGGTATTATTACAGCTAATTTTAATTTGTTTCAGTTATTCTTACTAAGAGAGGAAAACTAAAGTCAGAGCTGTTTGTTCATCAATGTTTTAAAAAACTCTTGTCTCTGTGTGGTGGTGTACATCTGTAATTCCAGAATTCACAGACTGGAAAAAAAGGAATTCATATAAGGATAACAAATTGGAGGTCAGTCTGGGCTATAGAGTAAGTCTGAGGATAGCCTGGGCAGTACAGCAAGATCCTGTCTCAAAAAATGAATGAACAAAGTAAAATAAAGTCCTGTTTCTCTCTCAGTGTGTTTCTAATGAAAAGTTCTTGGTTCAATTTGGCAGTCATTACATTCAAAGAAAACTGGCAAATTCAAGACATAATTATGCTTTTAGTTCTAAAAGAATTCCTTTTGAAGAAGGAAAATACAGAGCTAACAAAAACAGGAAAGACTAAAGAAAAAAATATCTCATCATAGATGAGAAGATGAGGTTGAGATTTTTTTTTTTTTTTTGGGTCCGGTCATGGGGCCTGAACTCTTGGCCTGGGCTCTGTCCCTCAGATCTTCAGCTCAAGGCTAGCACTCTACCACTTGAGCCACAGCACCACTTCCGGCTTTTTTTCTTTTTGCTTATGTGGTGCTGAGGAATCAAACCCAGGGCCTCATGCATGCAAGGCAAGCACTCTACCACTGAGCCACCTTCCCAGCCAAGGTTGAGACTTTTTTAAAAGACAGTGACACTCTGAAATCTATCAATTAAAGCTGGACACAGGCAGTATACCTCTGCAAGCCTAGCTACTTAGGAGGCTAGGACCTAGAGGATCACAGTTCAAAGCCAGCCACAAGATTTCATATCCAAAACCCCCCAGCAAAATGCCAGCTAAAGGCATGGCTTAAGTGGTAGAGCACCAGCAAGTAAGTAAGCAAGATGAGCTAGTACGAGGCCCTGTGCTCAAAAAGAAAAAAAAGAAAAAGTATAATTAAAAAAAGAAACAGTAAATTAAAAATTTAAAAACAGTAATTAACAAAAGAAACAGTATAATTAAAAAAATACACATAGGAATGTCTAAGTATGCTACTTAAAGTCATAAGGTATGCTACTTAAAGTCCAAAGGGGTCAGGTATAGTTTACTAATTTAATGGACACATGTGATGGATGGCAATTGAAAAAAACAAATGCTCAGGTCACCAAGATGCATTCCAGGAGGTAAGGGAGGGAGGCCACAAGTCTAATCCTCTTGCCTGACAAGAGATGCTAAAGCTAAAGAAGAGCCTATAGCTATCCTGATGGATCAGTGTGATTAGAGTATCCCCTCTGCTTTCTAGGCTGTTCCAACGATTCTGTCATCTTTCTGTGGATCCATTTCTTTTCAGCAGAACAAGGCATCCCTTTCCTTTCATACACAATGTGTCAACTTTAGAAGCTATAGTTTCCTTTGTAAACTACACCGGTAACTTATGATGGATCTTGCAACACGTGCTGAGGTTTTCAATGGTCCCAAATGTTCATGTTCACAGAAAAATGGAAGTTCTTTATATTTGTATATCTTAAGGTTCAAATTCAGGCTTCAAATTTAACATTTCCTTCACCCTCAATGATTCCAAATCATAATTCAAAAAATAAAAAGCCTGGTTATTTGCTTTTAATCAATGTAATCTCCTAAAAGGCCAAGCATCAAAATATTCACCCAAAATGTATTAGCTTTATATATTTTGAAGGGATCAACTGATCCAGCAAGGTGATCAATCAATTTTCAATTACAATCTGGCATCTCAATAAGATGACAAGGCATGTACTTACAAGTGATATTAGTCATCAAATGAGGGGTTCAGTGAATTCCTAGAATAGTAAACTAGCACCATGAATCACAAGCAAAAGCATTATTTCTTTCTTTTAATAGTAATTCATCTAGACATTCTATAGAATTATAGAATTATAATTTTAAAAGAATACACATAAGAATATTCTAAATATGGGGCTGGGAAGGTGGCTCAGTGGTACAACGCTTGCCTTGCATGCATGAGGCCCTGGGTTCGATTCCTCAGCACCCCATAAGCAAAAAGAAAAAAGCCGGAAGTGGCACTGTGGCTCAAGTGGTAGAGTGCTAGCCTTGAGCTGAAAATCTGAGGGACAGCGCCCAGGCCCAGAGTTCAGGCCCCGTGACCGGACCCAAAAAAAAAAAAAAAAAAAAAGAATATTCTAAATATGCCACTTGAAGTCCAATGGATAACTATAATTAAAGGATTTTCAATTAAACAGTTATACAAATAGATTTTACATGGAATTTACAAATGAAAAATACTTAGCCTCTCCCACCCAAGAGACACACACACACACACACACACACACACACACACACACACACACGGTATCGGTTAATCTATTTATATATCAATTTATATAGTTATATAGATTATGTGTGTGTGTGTGCATGTGTAGATTTTGTGTGGCCTCTTTAAGGCCACCTTTAAGTGTTTTCATATATACTATGAAGTTTAGATTTATACTCTCAGCACTCTAATTTATTTGACGGACAGCATATTAACAAACTGTTAAACCTAATATTGTATAGTGGAAATTTTCAGCATGTAGTTTAACACATCCATTGTGTTCCAGCACATACTTACCACATCAAACTTCTGAGTGATATTTCCCTGGACGTCAAGTAAATAAACCTTGCCATAATGTGTGCCCAGTGCCAAAAACTGTAGAAAGAATGGAGGGGTCAATCAATGCTGTACTTATGAATACATAATTTCTAATAAAATCATTTTGAAAGTAAAAATACTTAATGCGTAAATGATCTGCAGTATCTCAGAGATATTCATTCCTTGGAGAAGGTTTGTTTCTGGCTTCAGGGAAATGACAGACCAGGACCTACTTTATTTTGATAGTGCAAGCTAGCTGTCAGAATGACTCATGAGGACCCTCATCTACTGACAACTAATAGTGTGTATGCAGTCTATACACAATGCTTGATGGGCTGAGGCAGTAAATTAAAAATGTAGCTCAGAAAGCAAAACCAACCTACAGTTGAACCAAAGGCAGAGGGGAATGATTAAGAAACTACCTCTAATTTATGGCAAATGTGTAAATCTATGCTATCATTTAAGCTCAACACAAGAAAACAGAACACAAACAGCACAGTATTACTTTCTGAATAGATAATCCCTGCCATATTGAAAAATGAACCTCTCAGATGTACCTGTACTGTCATTTAGCTTTAGTATACCTCCATAAAAGTTATCATATAATACTCAGTACAAGTGTTTATATTCCGATGCAAAAAAAAATACCTCCTTTTCTGTCACTAAATAACTATTGAGCTACATATTCATTTTATAACACTAGTTCGTAACTCACATGATTTCATTACTCTTCAAGTTGATCCTAAAGCAGAAGCTCAAGGACCAGCTGAAATATGACATGAGCTTTTTCTTCCTTTTTATTTCTTGAAGTATTGCTCAAATAGTCCAGAATTCGTGGAATTTCATTGCATGTGAGCATGCTTCATTGCAACCTATAATGAAATGCTCGAATTTACAGGCACTACTAAGCATTTCAGTCAAGCAGCACAATCTTTAAAAAAATAGTAATAATATCCTTACAGAAAGTCAAAATTTAAAAGGATTTCTCAAAATGGAATTGCTTAAAATGAAATTTTAGTTCAGGCACTTAAAATCTGAAGCTACATTAAAGAGTAGCTACAAAAAGGGAAAGAAGGGGCTCATTAGAAATTCCTCCCTGCAATGTCTTTCACTCCTGCAAGGTTGCCTTTTTTGAGGAAGAAAAAAGTCCCCCGGGTAAGAAAATCAATACTGGTTAATAAAACATCAGGTGTGCAGACATAACTAGGTATGACGATTCCGCTGCACAGGCCTGCCTGAATGCACTAGGTGCCATGACGATTAGTCATCCAGGGCAGACAGCAAGCCTGGTCAAAACAGGATGCTTGGGCCCTGGAAGGGAAAGGGAGTAGAGGTAAATCTAAGGGGAAATTAGTCTGAATATTTAAATCCAACAGGATTGGTTCCTCCAAAGCAAAATTACAACCTAGAGGACCCAAATGGTGTAATTTTATCTTTACAGTGACACTCTCATAATATTTGAATAGAAAAGCATCACATAAAATACTAACTAAAAATACATGATACTCTATTCTGTGGCTCTTTGTGGTAAAAAGAATGGTTAAAAAAAAAAAAGCTCACTGCACCCTAAGTATCTCACAGTATTGATTCTCCTCATAAATACTGTATCTACTTTGTTAGGAAACTAAGGGAGCTTGGTTCCTTAAAATGCTTTAACACCGTGCCATTCTTGGATACCACTGTGAAGACTATTTTGAATTAATCTCATTTCATCTTATAGGAGATTTGAAGATTCTATGCAGAGTATGTGCTCACATATTCCTTCTCTTTAACTTCCTCCAAATTACTAATTTTATTCACTTAATATTTAAGATAGAAAACAAAATAATTTTTATTACATACTTGTAAACTAAAGGTACAATTACTTCAGAATCTTTTAAATTCATTATGATTTTTATGATATCTCCTTCTAGTTAGAATGTTTAATCATAAATATTAGTTACTGCTACTCTTTTAGAAATAAGCAACTAGGTGTTATTAAAAAACAGGTGAATGAAGTATTTAATAGCAAATTATGGTTGAGTCATATATTCATTTGCTGAAGCTTCTGACTCCTTAAAAACAAGACAAAAAATACAAAATGCCAAATTATCCACAAATTGGAAAGAACATGGATTATTCTTAAATTTACTTTAGAACATAAATTTAAACCCTTCAAATTTTACTCTTCTAGTCATTAACTTGTATTTATTGAATTGTGTGTTTCTATCTGGAGCCTGATTATGCTCAAAAGTCTAGGATGAGCAAAGAATAAATACAATTGCCTTGGCTCCTTTCATGTTTAATTACAGAAACTTGACTGCTTTATAAACTCTCTGACTGGGCCTACAAGAACATGCTTTCACTCTGTATGGCTGGACAGCATGCAGGCAAACTACAGAAGAGGTAGCAGCCCTATAACATCATCTCCCGTTCTCCAAGTGTTTGACAGTAGTCCAAGTATTAGAATGGGGATGGACTTCCATTACACATGAGAAAATAAGTTCTGGCAATTGATGAGACTCTCTTGGTAACAGTCACAGGAGGGTAGGGCCAGAATTAAAAGTTGATATACTGGTTTGAGGCATAGATGATAGAACACTTGCTTTGCATGTACAAAGCCCTGGGTTCCTCCACAGCACTGCAAAAATAAAATTAAAATTAAAATTAAAAACTAAAACACTCACAACTGGGATCAGAATCCTCTTCACAGAAACACAAACCTTAGAAATTAAGAATATATGTTCTAAAGCCAACATTTGATTTTCCCAACCATTAGGCTCTCTGGCCAAGTTAAGTATGGTGTATAAGGGACAACCACTCTCACTCTATGGCTAGACTTCATTTAATAGATGATGAAAATCATACACAGGTTTTAAAACCTGTATTGTCAACACATCATCCTGGCAACCAGGAGGTAGGATGGGTTTAAAGAGCAAAAATGAGAAGCACAAGAGATGTCCCTGTTTACCAAGTACACACAGAAGAAGGTGAGGGCCAACACCAGAGCAGAGGAGAAAGAAAACAGGAGACTAAGGGGACTGCATGGGAGGGGAGGGGTCACCTTTGGGTTAGGTGATAAAGGAGATTGGCAATGCTACCACATGGAATGCAGAGAAAACAGTAGATGCAAGCAGAAGAGGAAAAGAAGATGAGCTCATCACAGACACAGACATGCAGAGACTCAGGTGAGGAGAACAAAAGGATAAGAGGATTGAGGGTCCGCATGTGGGTAGTCACAGAAATCATGAGATTTAAAATGAAGTGAAAGAAGTACAAATTAACAAGAAATGTGGGATGATGGATCCTATTCTGGCAAATATAACATGCCAGGGAATGGCAGAAGTAAAGGGAAATGAAAGATAGTTGGGTATAGTTCAAGTGACAGAACACCTACAAGTCATGGAGTCCAAACTCAGTATTGCCAGAAGGAAGCAAGGGAGTGAGGGAGGGAGAGAGGGAGGGAAGGAAGGAGAAAAAGGGAGAAGAGGAAAAAAAAGAAAAACAGGAAATATGAGAAATTATCAAGAAAGTAAAAATGGATAGTGTTATGGTGATAAAGTTTCCAAAGGGGTGATATCCGTAACTGTTAAGTGGATAGACAAAATTTGGTATGCCCATATGAGTTCTGAATAATAATTCAGCAATAATAAGAAATGATCCAGGTGCCAGTGGCTTATACCGATAATCCTTACTATTCAGGAGGGTGAGATTTATGGACTGTGGTTCAAAACTAGCCTGGCAGTAAAGTCTATTAGACTCTTATCTCCAATTACTACCAAAAAAGTTAGAAGTGAAGCTATTGCTCAGCTGGTAGAACACTAGCATTGAGGGGGAAAAAAAAAAAAAAAAGAACACTCAAGAACAGCACCCAGGCCCTGAATTTAAGCCCTAGGACCAGCACAAAAAAAGGAGGAGGAGGAGGAGGAGGAAGAAAGAGGAAAGAGGGAGAATGGAAGAAGAGGGAAGAGGGAGGAGAGAGAAGGGAAGAGGGAGAAAAAGGAGGAGGAGGGAGAGCAAGAGGGAGGAGGAGGGAGGAGGGAGGCAGGAGGAGGGAGGAGGGGGAGGCAGGAGGAGGGAGGAGGGAGGAGGGAGGAGGGAGGAAGAGGAGGAAAAAAGAAAAAGGAGCCTGACACAGGAGGCCAAATACCATGTAACTTTGTTTACCTAAGATATCCAATTGGCAAGTCTATAGAGACAGAAAATAAACTAGTGGTTAACTATGTCTGGTATTAATATGTCCCATACACAGAAAGCATCTCTAGGAGAGAAGGGAGGAAATGATATGAAGCTGAAACAAACTTGGACAAATCTATCCCTGAAAGAGAAGTAAACTGTGGGTAAGGATAGGTGTGGATCCAGGCCGGTGGTGAAAGGGGTAACGAAATAATCTTGCCTCGTTGTTCCAATATTCTTGAAGAGAAATGACATCTCTGAGAATGGAGCGCATGCCTGTAACCCCAGCATAGCACTCAGGCTGAGACAAGCGGGTGGTGAATCTGAGGCCAACTTGGGCTACATAATTAGACCCTGTCTCAGAGAGAGATCATGAAATAGCTGAAAAGGGTTATTGAGGCTTAAAGGAATGGCAAAGAACAAGAAAGCAAGGGTAATTTGGGGGTAGAAATTTACCTGAGCATACCACAGCATGGCTGCCTTGGTTATATATGACAGCAGTGCCTCAGAGTTGAGCCACTGGTCAATTCTGACAGGCACAATGAAAAGTCAGAGATGTACAGTAGTTCACAGAGACAAGGAAAAAAAAAAACAGATTAAAAGTCAGGACTCCATCATCACAGAACAAGGAACAGTGAACAGGAAAGCTAGGACAAAGGGCAAAGGAAATAGAAAGGAGATCCTTAAGATCTGGCAGCTGATATCATCCAGATGGCCTTAGAGTGGGAGCTGAGACAAGGAAGAGGTGAAGATCACTGACATTAAATGAGGTTGAAGAACTGCAAGGCCAGTCTTCATTGAGTGAAGGGCAAGTATCAGGAAGTCCTGGGATGGAAACAATGGGAAGGGCTCAACCAGTGTTGCTGTCAGAGAGCAGAAGCCTCCAGGATTAGTTTCTGATAAACAAGAGAGGCCAGATCTTCTACTAAAGTACTGAGTGAAAGATTCTGATTACAATGGGAAAAAAAAATCTGAAGCAAAAATGAATTAGTCTGAAGAGGAAAGAGAGAATGATGCAGCATTGCTGGTAACACAGCATCAAGCCAGCTGGTAGATCCCACTGGCCTTTTGAAGAAGGAAAAAAAGAGCAATGGCTGAAACTCTAGCGCTTCCACTATTATGACCACAACACTGACAGTTCTGGGCTAGCCAAGTCTAGCCTGGATTCAGAAAGGAAAGCCACTGCTATAGGAAGGACCAAGATATAGGACATACTCATTGTTTAATATGTATTGCTAATGTGTATTCCTAGTGGCTCCCAAGACCACCAATGTAAGCTCTCCTACCCTCATGAAAGCACTGAACCCCATCCTGTCTCTAATGTAATATTTACAATTTAAGGAATTAAATGATGGGTTCTCAAATCCATATAATCTTTCATAACAATCACTATCTAAATTCTACTTAATAGGCCCTTAGAATGCTCTATGTGGAATGTACTAGGGTATGTATATGAACATAAATATTTGGGACAGTCTTTCATTTTTGTTGGACTGGAAGGAGAGGGAGAGGAGCAGGGGAATATAATTACTATTCACAATATAACAGAACAAGACACACATACACACAAAAATCAAAAGCACTGGAACTCTTGAAGTACAAAGTAGAAACAAGAATGTTTGGACAGTGCCAACTTGCCTTGTCATGGACTGTCATACAGCTAGCTGCATCTTTCTGAAGAATCTCAGTCACTCCATTGGACAGCCTCTCATACTTCAGCTTAGGTTCTTCTTCACTCTCTTCTTCCTAAATAAAAAAGCACAGAAAAATGATTATCACTGTGATTTGTTTTGAAAGACTCACCAACCACACTTCTTAAAGAGCAACAAGAGATGGTCCTCAACCCAAACAATTATCAATAACTGTAGTTAAAGGCAGTTCTCTCAAAATCTCTCATAGTGTTAGGCAATGTGTTAGTTGAAAATGCAATCATGGGAAGACCTAATTCAAGTCAGGGTATCTTCTTCGAAGATGGTACAATCAAAAGGCTGGTAAGATAGTGCTGGCTGTTGGTAAAGGCTTCAGTTCCTTGCTGGTAGGCCTTTCCATAGATCTGTTGTGTCCTCAAAACAAGACATACAAGACCACCCCCTTCCCTACTGTGAGTAACCCCAGAGAGAACAAAACAAAAGCCTTGCTTTACCTGACCTAGCCTGAGACTGCACACTTCATTTCTAGGTTAATGTATTAATGCGACAGGTCAGCCATGATTCCATGTGGGAGAAAAGGACACAAGGACATGAATAACAGGTGATCCAGATACACAAACAGTGATAAAACATTAGAAACAATAAACCTAGTTTTTAAAATCATTATTCCATATATTGTCATAAATTAAATCCAAGGACACAAAAGCTATTAGCTACCTTGTAATAGTATTACAATCAAAGGTAGTATATCTATATTAACTTTACAGTGATATGTTTAAGAACTAATAACAATAAGAACAAAGAAGCTTTACATTTCAATTTAAAAAAAAAACATATGACAATTGATCCAAAAAAGTTACACCCAAACCAACCTATTCTGAATGGAAAATAAGAATCACTCATTAACAAAGTCTAAAGAAACCTGAAAAAAAAAGAACACTTTTACTTATATATCTTCAAGGAAGAAGTAGAAATCATCACAAAATTAACATAAGTAGCACAGAGGATGTATGCATTCTACAGCCAATGTGTTAAATACAAATTAAATCCCCAACAACAGGCTCTATAATAAGATGCCACATGTTGCTCAAGTCTGGACATCAAATGTGCATCCATTGTGAAAAGTTAATTCTAGCCTCTTGACTATTTTGCATAAAAGCACTCATCCACGGACCATTAGATAAAGTTACCAGAAATAAGGTTTGCCTGTCTTATTTATAAGTGAAAGGCAAAATAATTTCTCTCACATAAATATACAAAAATAAATACTTTCACAACACAGTTCACTGAAGCATTCGTGCAAGGTTTCAAAACCATAAATAAAATGAAAACTCCAATATTGGGCACTTGATGTACTATTTCACGCTTTTCTTTTATGTTAAGTTAAAAGCAGGCTAAAGGTGAGTTTTTGAGATTTTTTTTCCTCTATAACACAAACAAAGGAAATAGAAAGTGGTTCCAAAATACAATTCACAGAGGTTATTCTGCTGCTGCAGACTCAATATCACATTTTAAATAAAACAACATTTTAAAAAATCAGAGATTTAATATAGTTTCACTTTAATTTAAAAAAAAATTTAAACTGAAGACCTTCATGCAGTTTGAACTTCCATGGTAAACAACCCAGTGTTAATAAAAAGCAAATCAATAATTTTTGTTAAATTTTAATAATCTTACAAACCTACAAATAAAACCATCAACCGTCTGAGTTGAGATGACAGCTAACAGCGTTACTATGACAACCCGGTGGAACAGAACAAGTCCTGACTTGCAGCTAAGCGAAGATATGAGCAGAGTGACATTTACCCACGCAAGGAAAACTTGCAGCTTTCCTTTCAAAAAGATCAATTTCTCAACGAACATGGATTTTCACTAAGTGTATAGCACTTTTAATTAAAGACAAATCCTTTAAACACCCTATAAAATTCTAGAACATTACCTGAAAATAAATGTCATATCATGACCACTCCTTTGAATTTAATGGGGGGAAAATTACTTAATGGCTTTTGTGGAAAAACTGGTTAGTAGTTTGTAACTTTGGTTTATTTGTTCCTAAGGAGTTAATTTTCAGGAGGAAGTCCTGTTGCAAACTTGGACTTGTCTGTTGTCAAGAATATATGATCATTTAAAATTTGTGTGTGCATGTGTGCATCTAACCAATGGATTCTACATTCCTCATCCTGTTTAAATGTCACCTATACCTTTCATTCACACATTATTATTTTTGCTAAACAAGTTGCAGTCCAATAAGAGTTTTTTTGTCAGTTGTGGGGTCTGAACTCCCTCAGCTCTTCAGCCCAAGGCTAGCACTCTATCACTTGAGCCACAGAGCATGGTTTTTTTTTGGGGGGGGGTCCGGTCGTGGGGCCTGAACTCTGGCCTGGGCACTGTCCCTCAGCTCTTCAGCTCAAGGCTAGCACTCTACCACTTGAGCCACAGCGCCATTTCCAGCTTTTTTCTTTTTGCATATGTGGTGCTGAGGAATCGAACCCAGGGCCTTGAGCATGCAAGGCAAGCGCTCTACCACTGAGCCACCTTTTTTTATGCTTATACAGGTGCTAAGGAATCGAACCCATGGCCTCATGCATACAAGGCAAGCACTCTACCACTGAGCCACCTTCCTAGCCCCAAGGACTTGAATTTTAACTGAAAGTATATCACCATGAATTCGAGAGGCTCTAACTGAAAAATTCTAACATGTGCTTCTGCTTGCTACTGTGTATCCAGAAATTGTTTCTGGATACCATTTTTTAATTAAAATTCAGTTGTGTTTGGTTTTGACAAAATAAAAGGGTACTGGCTGTTCTGAAGAAGGTAGACTATCATGTCAAGAACACACAGAAAAAAATAAAAATAAAAAAATCCCATGTAATTGTAACCCCTCTGTACAGTATGTTCACAAAAAAAAATAAAAAAAAAAAAAAAACACACAAAGCCAGTGGAGGGACCCACATTGGAGGTGACCACTGCTGGACAATTTACTGCCTCTCCACGGAGATGGCCTTTCCCCAGCCAGCTTCCTCTTCCAGAACACCTGGGCTAAAGCATCAGCCATTTTAATCACGAGTGGTTTGCTTGCTTTCGCACCATCAAGTACATCTGACCAGGGGCAAATCCTTTTAATAAATATCCAATGTTCTGAAAGCCCCATACAATCGGGAAACACTAACATCCTCAAAAGAAATTTTCATGGTTTTAAAACAAAGTTTTCACGCAGTTTGAGCTCCCATAGTATAACCACCCCCCCAAAAAAAAAAGTGTTAATAAAAAGCAAATCAATAATCAAGCATGGGTCTGAAGGTATAAAATAAAGGTTTGCTTCCTCTAGGACATTCTCTCTAAAAGTCTAATTACCTTCAAGAGAACTGAAACACTCAACATCAGTAGTCAATCTTACACATTTAATAGACAAAAAAATAGGGGGAAAAATAGCTATCAAAATGGAATATAAAGCATTTGAAATTTAGAGAACTGCATTTTAAAAATCCTCTGATTACAAGTAATTCATTTCATGAAGGCCCTATGATATATTAAAATAATTCTTTTTTCCTCTCCTTTTTATGGAAATGGGGATCCATTCTGGGGATTTGAACTCAGAACCTCATACGGTGCTCTACCATTTGAGCCACATCCCCAACTTGATTTCTGCTTTAGATATTATTCAGGTAGAGTTTTGCATTTTCCTGGGATTGGACTCAGACCAAGATCCTTCCACCTACTGCTTCTTGGGGGAGGAATTTCAGACATGCACTGCTACTGGGGGTCTCGGTAACTTTCTGGTTGGGCTGACTTTGGACCAAGATCCTCCATAATAGCTGGGATTGCAGCTCTGAAACACAGCAGCAAGCTTGTTGACTAAGACAGGGTCTCGCTAACATTTTCCTCAGGCTGGCCTCAAATTATGATCTCTGCCTTCCAGCAAAATGTTTCTTTTCAGTTATCATTTATTAGAGAAGGTAGAGGGAGAACAGAAAAAAAAATTGAAAAATGATTCCATGTACAAACAAAAGTATGTTTAATGGATAAACAAAAATAATCAAATAAGTCAATAAAAACACATACTGTAAGACTCAAAAACATAACTAACAATATTTTAAGCAATAGATCTAACCACTGCTTCTGGGTCTCCTCAACAAAGACAACATGAATAGATGAAGCATATTTATTACTGGGTATTCACAACTATCTGAAACTATACTGTTATCATGAAATATACATGTACAAAATAGGTCAGCTCCAAATTCAGGATATTGAACCTGAGCTTTTCTAGAAAGGGTAGAAGAGAACCCTGATGAGGAAAAAAGAGCCTTCAAGTTAGGCTCAATGTGAATCAAGGACTAATGATCTCAGTGGCTTTCACTTGCTGAAGCAGTGCCTCCCCAGCACACACAATGATGGGTACCTTCTTAAGAAGGTAGCTGCAACTATTAGTAATTGTATGCTTCAGTTCTACTACGGAAAGATCACTTTATTTATGAAAAGAGTATCTGGTGGGAAAGATGGCTTTACAGATCCTTCTGAAGTGTCAAAACACATCAAGAAAAGTACATAAGCAGGCTGAAAGAATAACTTCTGGTTTCCATTAGAAATACAGGTATTATAGCTGCCTCAATGACCAAACTTTTTAAGAAAGTAACATGGAGATAATGGAATTCATCTCAAACTAGGTGGTCAAAGCTCCCAGGCTGCCTTTTGTGAGACTGCTGACAGCTATGCTCTTACATTCTCTATGAATGCAAATAAACCTGTTAAACTTTCAATTTCCAAGCAATGTTGCTACTAAGGAAATATTAATTTTTTTTTTCAAATGATGATGCTGAACAACCTACAGAGCACAGGACATGCCCCCACAGCCCAGAATGCCAACAGTGCTCAAGTTAAAATTGCTAGCTTAGCAGAATTTCACAAGATAACATATCACAGGGACAGTAAAGCCTGTGATAGAGATCCTGTGCTCCCATATCCTGTGGATGAGTGGGAAATGTTTCTCCCTTTTCCCTACTTTATCAACTTGATATACTATTCTTGGTGAAACTTCAAAATAAAGATTTTTTTTTTTTTTTTGCCTGTCCTGAGGCTTGAACTCTGGGCTGGGTGCTCTCTCTGAGCTTCTTTTTGCTCAAGGCTAATGCTCTACCACTTGAGCTCCACTTCTGGCTTTTTCTGAGTAGTTTATTAGAGAAAAGAGACTCACAGACTTTCCTATCTGAGCTAGCTTCGAACTATAATTCTCAGATCCCAGCCTCCTGAGTAGCTAGGATTATAGGCACCAGCCACTGGCACCCAGCTAAAAAAAAATTTTTTTTAAGTATTTTAAAGGATAACTGAATAGCAAGGGAAAATGTGCTCATGATGTCATTAGGTAAAAAGTAAGTCACAAAATCTGTTTTGCATGATCCTAATTTTTGTTAAGAAACATATCTGCAATGCATGGGAATGGAGTACTAGGAATAACAGCACAGCAGTAACCAGTAACCTCCCTAGGCTTCGACTTCTTCATCCCAGGGTGGGGAGGGAATGATGATAGGCCTCTGATCACGGGGTCACTGTGACTAGCACAGAGCAAATAGAAACCATAAGAGGCAACTATTGTCCACATCTTCCAAATTATCTAAAACAAACATGTCATATTATAAAAATGTTATTCTTATAATAACCCAAATAAATGCTGCTGAACATCTTCCTCATAACTCTATCAACTGAATGAAGATCCCTATCTCTCAGAGCTGCTTTCCTCACTGTAATACTACAGTGAGGAAAAGTTAAGCCTGTAATAATTGGAAAGCTCCACTTAAGATTCACAAGATATGCAGTCTTCATAAACCCTGTTCTCTCCTTTGCCCATAGTACTAGAATTTCATGTTCAATTCAAGCAGGAAAAAAAAATAAGGTGAAGGTCCCCATGCCCTAAGCCACTACTATAAACAAGATCAACTCTCATCATTTATTTTATATTGGGAAAGCGATAAGAATATAGAGAAGAAGGGGAAAAAAATGAGAAAAGCAAATAAGCTTTTCATTTCCTTGCAGCCATATGGAATAAACTCCCCAATCTCCAAGATACGCCATTCAGGTAGACAATTTCCTCCACTAAAGCCAACATAAAACATAACCCTCTTTTCCTTTTTTCCCAATAGCTGGTGGTGATCACAAGATCCTAAGAAGCAGGGTTTATGCCTTTTCATTGTTCAGAACTTCACCTAACAAAACAGTGGGTACCTAATAAGACCAGTGAAAACAAACATCTGTGGTAACAGCATACCAAGTTCACTAAGCAGTTCTCCTAAGACCTTCTCATTTAGCTTTGCACTCCAAATCAGAGTCTAGCATCAAGAACTATGGAACTCATCTAAGCGCTATAAGTTTACAGACACAGAAGGGTGGGGGTAGGAGTATCAGATAGAAGAAAGGGGCAACAGTCCATGTAGGAATTACAGAAAAGTTCACAGACATGAAGTTCTAGCATCTTCCAACAGCACTAGCAAATTCTATGTTCAGAAAAATCTACATTTCTTTCTAATTTGCATGTTGTTATATGAAAAAGGAAAATGCTCAGGTTCTTGAAATCACTGTTAAGAAGATTTAAAGTTAGGACACGGGACACCAAACACCCATGTCTTTTCACTCCTAGATGCCATGGGCTGAGCAGACTCCTCTGCCACATGTTGTCACCACTGTACCGCCACAGGCCACAAACACAGACAACTGACATTTCTAAAACCATCAGCAACATTACCTTTCCTCCTTTTAACTCCATTATCCCAAGAGTTTCTTTTGTTTGGTTTGTTGTTTTGCCAGTACTAGGGCTTGAACTCACAGCCTTGCACTCTTGCTGGACTTTTTCACTCATAGCTAGCACTCTACTAACTTGAATCACACCTCCACTTCAAGCTTGCTTTTTGTTTGTTTTATTTTTCTGGTCAATTGGAGGTGTCTCATAAATTCGTATGCCCAGGTTAACTTGGAATCTTGATCCTTAGATCTCAGCCTCTTGAGTAACTAGGGTAATAGGCCTGAGCCACCAGTTATCTCAGGTAACTAATGCAGCATATTTTAAAGAAAAAAATAGTTAAGATAACCACAGAATAAACTGAGGAAATGAATACCATCAAAGTACTACCTATCTTATTTGAAAGCACTATGAATAAGGAAAGAACAAGACAGGTTCTGTCAAGACAGTCAGTAGCTGGCCCCTTCCCTCAGTGAGAAAAAAGTAGATTCTAGAAAACATCTCCCAAGTTGCCCCCATGGAGCAACTGAAGTCATGAGGAAGAGTAAAGACCCTGCATGGGGCCATAGCAGAAATGGATCAGGCTCAGGATTGGCCTGATACTGCATTCCTCTCTCTAAGAAGTCTCCTGAGTTTCCTGGGCCCCAGTTGACAGGATGACGACTGGCCAGGCTGCATCTGCTCCTCCAGCTCCTACCAGGCCAATCAGAACAGGAAACTCCCTCCCAGGGCCACCTTCTATGCAAATGACCTACTGGGAACTTCCCAAGGGCCCAGAAGAGTCATCACCCAAAGTCTCATACTGAAATAAATATTTTTTTCAAGGAAGTATTCAATTAAGATAAATAATCCAGGAGATGTTGTAAGAGACATAAGAAAGAGGATGGTCGAATGTCTTAATAGAATTCACTATTGTCATTCAGTGAGGGCAGAGGCAGAGAGGAAGATGAGAAGCAAAGCTAGGTAAGGGAGGGAGGGAATGAGGAAGAGAAGAGGTTGCTTTATCCAAAATCCAACTGGAATCCATCTCAAAGTCACAAAGTAAACTAAATAATGCTCAGATGTTGGAGTACCATACACAACCCCTATATGCTGGTCAAGTTACTTAAAACCTGAGGTACCTTACTTTCTGGGATGATACATACTTCTAAGAATTTCTTCAAGAATTAAATGTAGTAAGCATACACAAAGCACAGAATATAGTATTATCCAGTGAATGTGAGTCACTAAAAATATTACCCTGTGTGTGATTCAACCTCAAGTTTAGAATGCAGTCTCCCTTCTGAATTAACTTATCATACCACCAGTACATAAAATTGAACAAACAGTAACACTTCTAATTATTTTTTTATACTACTTATACTGCTTTGATTTTACTGCATCATTAAAAATAATGCTTTTAGGGAGGGAGCAATGAAGGGGGTGACATTTTCCAAAAAGAATTATACTCTTTTACTTTTTAAGATATAAAAAGGGCTGAAAGCTAACTTTGGTGTCTACATAGGATCATAAGGAATTTTGTGTTTTGCATATTCTCATTTGTATCAGTTTCCTGCTGGATTTTATACTTTTCCTTTTGCCAGCAACTCTCACAGCCCATTCCCCCACTGTCTCTCTTGAATGTACTTAGATAATCTTCACATTATGGAAAAAAGTAAATTTTGTAAGTTTTGTGATCAATTTAACTATAGATATTTATTATCCTATAAGTCATCTATTTTTGTAACTACCTGTGGTCTGTCATTTATTTCTAACTCATGTTTCTTGCTAATTATGGTAATAGGAAGGGAGACCTAGATTAGAAACTTAATTTGTACTCTTCAGCTAATCTGTGAATATAAAAACTATACTTGTGCCAGGCATGGTTGTGTGCACCTGCAATCCCAGCAATTGAGATATGGAGTTCAAGGCCATCCCCAACTACATAATAAGACCCTGTCTCTAAAAACCAAGTCTGGGATTGTATCTCTGTGATAAGCACTTGCTGAGAATGTCTAAGACCTGGGTCTCATCCTAGTACCACAGAAACAAAATCTTACATTGTTGCCTTGCTGAAATGCAGCCTACTGCAGTGAGAAACAAATCCAGGTGTTGAAATCCACTCTAGGAGATAGAGCGGAGCTAACCTAATGGTTTTTCATTTAACTTTGTGACAGAGTCCTTGGCATCGGCCTAAGAAGGGTGAGGTGAGGTTCTGGTGTTTAAAGGGCATTTTAGGTTTTCCACTAATTTGCCCATCTTTACCTTACACATATACTGTATTTGTTTACAGTCTTCAGGTGGATATAGAATTTAAATGTTTCGTTTAATAAATATTTAACTCCCCTCCCCCAAAAAAGAATTGTACTCTTTACCTGACTGTAATACCTCCGTATATCACTTGTATAATAACAATAAAAATTTAAATAATAATACTATTATTATAAAAATGGCTTACTCCTGTCATTCCAGCAGGAGTTACATAGCTGGCTTGAGATCAGGAGGGAATCAGTTCCAGACCAGCCTGGGGAAAAAAGTTTGGGAGACTCCATGTCAATGGAAGAAACTGGCATATTGGCACATAACTGTCATCTCAGCTATGGTAGGAAATGTAAAATAGAAGACTGGCAGCCCAGGATCAAGCCTGGACAAGAAGCAAGACCCAACCTTAAAAGAATCAGTGGAGCCAGGTGTCGGTGGCCCATTCCTGTAATCCTAGCTACTCAGGAGTCTGAGATCTTAGGATAATGCTTCAAAGCCAGCCCGGGCAAGGAAAGTCTGTGAGACTCTTATCTCCAATTAACCACCAGAAAACCAGAAGTGGCGCTGTGGCTCAAGTGGTAGAGATCTTGCCTTGAGCTGAAGAGCTCAGGGATAGCACCCAGGCCCAGAGTTCAAGCCCCAAGACTGACCAAAAAAAGAAAAGGAATCAGTGCAGAAATAAGCTGGGACATTGCTCAGCAGTAGAGCACCTACCTCGTGTGCATGAAGTCCTGAGTTCAAACCTTAGTACTGCAAGAGATAAAGTAGACACCGAGATAGAGACAGAGACATCCCATTAGCTATTGGCTGGGATGCAGGTTGGGGATAAAGACTGTCTAATATGTACAAGTTCCTGGGGTTCAATTCTCAGTACCCCACCCCCCAAAAAAAGCCATTTTCAAGCATATGTCTGAATCTTGTCATTAGGAAAGAGAAGGGAAATATTACAGTCTCTGGCTTGGTAAGTCCAGGACCCTTTCTGGATGCTTATGAAGACTAAAAGGCTAAATACCTCCCAACTGCCCAATCCCTGGTGATGGAAACGATGACAACAGACTAAAACCTAAGGCTTTATCAGACATTTCTCCACTCCCATCTCTCTCTAATACCATTCTAAGAGATTTATTTAATCCACTGAGGTCTTTGGAGAAAAGTCACATTCTAAAGTAATGTGAGGCCCTGAATGCCCAGGAATCTCTGTATTTAAAACTGGTCAAACTAAAAAGTCAAGTAGCTGTGGATGACAGAAGCCTGTGTGCTATTCAGATTTGTTATAGCATTTCTTGAGTCTAGAAAGAGAGGATTGCCTTAAAGCCTTAATAGTACAGACTGAGTCCTAACTGACAAATGAAATAATCATTTAAACATTTGAGAATGATAATCAGAAAGAAAAATACAAAATCTATAAATACAGCCCCCCCCCCCAAGATGATCAGTTTCAACAGAAACTGACTCCCCACACTCTAACAAAGCTAAATAAAAGTCAAAAGGGGAAAGGCCATCCAATCAAGTCATTTCCTGTATTAGTTTTCTATTGCTACTGTAAAAATAACTATAAACTTAGCAGTCTGAAACAAACAAAAGTTGGTTGCTATCTTATAATTACATAGGGAAGAGGTCCAAGACAGAATGCACTGGATGGCAATCTCTGGAAGCATGAAGGGAGAATCCTCCCCTTGCCTGTCCCTGCATTAATTGAATGCGGCCCTTCCTCCACCTTCCAAGCCATCAAAGGCAGGCTGAGTCCTTCCCACATCAGACCACTGGCCTTCCTCCTGCCTCCTACCCACTTACAAAGACTCCTATCCTATCTCACTAGCAACCTTAACTGTCCCTTGCCCTGTATAAGTATCATTCACAGGTTTGAGGGATGAGGACTTAGATGTATTTGGGGGTAAAGTTGGTGGGCTGTTGAGTCGGATGGCCAAAGCCAAGCCTAAAGCTAAAGCACAATTTCATTTGCTGGTTCCAAAATTAAGTCATGCTCACTTTAAGGGCACAGTGCAGAATCATACAATTCTCAATTTGAGCCTAGAAGCCAAAAGAGGTCCTTGTTTGACAAAAGGCATTCTCAAAGCCCTAGACGCACCATCTGCAAAATAAGGCTGCAATGTCACCACAAAAGCCTTCTCTGAGGACTCAAAATGAAACTCAGCTCCTCAGCCCATTCCATATTGCCCATAGTCAATGCAACCATTTTCTCTAGAATGTGTATTACTAGCTGATGTCATATATTTGTGCTTTTTGTTTATAGTCTACCTTTCTTATCAATACTAATGTATTCTAGCATCTTAATAGTCAATAATATTTCTTTAATAAATAAAATGACCAATCTTGGAGTCTCTTAAAGTAACATTTTCTCCTAGGCAGTGACAATATAAACATTATAAGGGTACAGATGTTCATCCTTTCACTCTAATGAATGCTAAAAATAGAGATTCAAAAATTTTATACACCAGGCGTGAAGTGTGCATGTTTTAGTAACAGCCCTTGTAAGGCTGAAACAGAAGTGTGAGTTCAAACATATCCTGGACTCCCTAGTAAGTTCCAGACTAGCCAGGACTACATACCAACAGCAAGACCCTATCTCAAAAAAACAAAAAATTTTGGATCCACAAAGTTTCTATCAAACTTCCAAAGGAATCTTTATAATATATGCTTCAAAAGAAATGTTTATCCATGCTTGAATGATGCAATAATCAGCTGAACCTGTAAATATTAATAGCTCATTAAATAAAAGAGCAAGTTTTTAATCCAAAAGCTATTTGGAAAGATAGAATATTTAATCCTTTGCTCCATTTTTTCTCAGCAATCAATCTCAACCATTCTAGTTACTAGTTCCTATAACTTTATTTATTAAATACATGTAAAGAATCAATTTAAGATCCAATAAATGATTCATAATGTTCTGCTCATGAGGTGAGATAAACAATTTTTATGTGATATATTTTCTGATTAAAAAAGCTATCTCCTGGCCAGGCATGGTGGTGTATGCCTATGATCCCAGAATTAGGAAGGCAGAAGCAGGAGCATGGCAAGTTCAAGTTCAAGGCCAGCCTAGGCTACAGACCCTGTAAAAAAAAAAATTAAATTAAATTAAGAAAACCCAAGCCAAAAGAGCTGGGTTTATTTTAACAAAACAGAAAAAAAAAATAAGAATTTTCCTTAGGCTAGTCAATTAGAAATAGCATTTCATTTAAAATGAATTCCTCAATTAACAGAAATAGCACATATGATTATTTTACATAGCTGCCAGTCTTTTTGGTTTTAACATGTTTATTAACTTAACCTGTGGTATTTGGAAGAACTAAGTCAGACCTAGATGGACATCATCTTTGAAGGACCCATGAATATTCATTTTCAAAAGATCCAGACATATTTATTTCAAGACTAACTAAAGCCATTCCTGTCCTCTGGTCCTGCCTAACACCTATTACCACAACAATCAGTATGGGAAGGATCTTATTGCTTCAAGTAAAAATTTTTTTTAAGATAGTTTATTTCTTCACTATGCTTTTCAAAAATAAAATACCATCAAGGTAGAATAAACAGTGCATATGCATTAAAAGAATCAGACGGGATGACCTGTCATTAATTGTATCTTACAAATCTGACCCAACTAACCCAAGTTTAACATAAATACAGAACAAGAAAATCTATTGTTTGGTGCTTGTATTTGGGTCTGAAATCAAGACCTCATGTTCTTGCTTAGCTTTCTTTCTGCTCAAGGCTGGCACTCTCTACTACTTAACCAGGGCTTCACTTTCTGATTTTTTTCTGATGAATTAAAGGTTAAGAGTTCCTCCAATTTGCCTGCCCAGACTGGCTTTAAACCGAGATCCTCAGACCTCACTCAGCCTCTTGAGTGGCTAGGATAACAGACACCATCTGCCAATGTCTGGTTTCAATGTAGTCCCTTAAATGACACACTTAGCTATATTGGTTGGAATGCCAGTTCCGAATTTCTACGTTGACTACAAAATCCAAGTTAAAAATCTCATACTTTACATATTGACATATACAGCACTTTCAATTATATTAATTATATTTATCTTGGCTAGTTCACTTAATTTAATTGCAGTTTTCAAGAGTAGTGAAATACATGGACAATGTAGGGTAGACAATATTCTTTTCTCAGATGTACATTAAAATTGCAGCATGAGATAAACCTAAAATAACAATAGTTCTCCTAATATAATGTAAAAGCCCAGTTCATATGAGATGCATTATTTCAAGAAATGATAAATTGTTAAGACACATGGTTGAAAACATTATATATTATTGTTCACAGAAATGGAAATTATATCCCAGCACTTCAATAAGGAAGATGTGCATAATGGAAATGTCTGTCCTGAGAAAACATTATGAAAGCTAATGGGAAGAAGATACAGAGAAGAAGAAGAAAAAAAGATAACCGACTCCTGGTCAGACTGCCAATGCCTCCAAATTTCACTCTGAGAAATGGAATGTGATCAAACTCAGAAAAGAAACCCAAGAAAATAGCTCTCAAGGCTCAAATGCAGAAAATACACATAAGCAACCTGGACAAGGTCCATCAGCAGCTGATTAGAACTCACTAGAATCAGCACCATTCTGTAGAGCTGGGGAGTCCCTCAGAACTCCACATCTACAATACAAGCTAAAGATTACCACCATTTATGGGGTGCTCCCTATGTCTGAGGCACTCCACAAACTGTTGACAAGCATTCATCATATCTAGCCTGCACTTCAAGCCTACAGCAAGTCTATAAGCCCATGTGTCATACAAGGAGATGCAGAACAGAGGGGTATGATGTCCAAGTTAGACACACACAAAGTACAGAAGACAGCCAAGGAAGGCATGAACTCCAGGCCAAGAGGCAGTCCTGGAATATCATTTGAAAATGCATCAGACCTTTAAGGCAAAGCAACCAAAAAAGAGCCCAGAACTGGAACCCACTTTTGCTATACACTACATGTATACTACAGTGTCAAGCTTCCTTGTGGGTCTCCTCCCCTTTGGTTTCCTCTTTTTTTCTTTCTTTTGCTCTTTCATTCATTCTTTCTTCATTCATTCATTGGTAGTACTGGAGATTGAATGCAGGGCCTGAATTGAATTCAGGTGGTAGGTGCTCTACCACCTGAGCCACACCTACAGCTCCTTTTGGGTAGGGTCTTGATCTATACCCAGGTTGTCCTGGGCTTTGATCCTCTCACTAGTGCAGCAATGTGTCATTGGAGATGATGGAGAAGCCATTATGCTTCTTCTCCAGCAACTGGGACAATAAGCACAAGCCACACCCCTTGCTATTTGGTGAAGTAGGGTCTTACAAGCCTTTATACCCAGGCTGGCCTCAAATTGCAATTCCCTGATCTCCACCTCTCAAGTAGTTAAGATTACAAGCTTGGGCCACCACATCCAGCTATGTTTTTCGTGATACTAGAGTCTGAACTAGGGTCTCACATTTGCTAGGCAGGCATTCTACTACCTGAGCCATACTCCCAGCCCTTATATGGTTATTTTTTAGATAGGGTTTCACACTTTTGTCCAGACAGTCATGGATCTACCCAACTGGAATTACAGGGGTACAACACCATGACTGGTGTATTGACTGAGATGGATCTTGCCAACTTTTGTCCAGATTGGCCTAAAACAAATCTCCTCCTAATTTCTACCTCTTGAGTAGTTGAGATTACAATTACTATGTAGTTGAGCCACTGAACTTAGTCTCTTCAACTTTAAAACAACCTTTTCTTTCAACTTCTGTACTGACACTTGTTAATTCTCATCCCTAACTTCATAGGTGTTTTTGTCATTTCTATTCTAAAATTTTCAGATTGAAGGTAACTGATTATAACTATAAATTTTGTATTTTGTCTTGAGACAGAATCTCACTATTTTCCTAGTCTGGTCTCAAACTCCTGAGCTCATTCTCCTACCTGAGTTTCCTGAGTGTTGGGATCACAAGTATGTGCCACCAGGCCTAGTTAGCAAATGCTTAAAGACACTTATTTAAATCGAGTGTTAAATATTATTTTCTATAATAACTATAATTCCAGAAACTTTGTACAGAAGTTACCTGCCATTTCAGTTCATTTGGAAATGATGCAATTGCAGATAAGAAAGGAGCAAAGCATCTGGGTGATAGTTCAGGTTTCTATGTTATTTCACTAAAAGGAAGTGTACTTTTCTTATAGGTGGCATCTGCTTTGGGTGACAGGAGAGAGAAAAAGCAATTCTCTTGGTTTTATGATGGCATTTGTCCCTGGGCACACCTAGTTTCCTGGTCTTTGTTTTGTCCCTTCACCACCAAGTCTGAGGGATGCTGCCCTGTTCTCCAGAAGTAGCACCATTCAGGCCTAAGTTCAAGCTCAGGGATGGCCCCCAAGACCAGCACCAAGAAAGGAGGGGAGGGGGAAGAGAGGGGAAGGAAGGGGAGAGAAAGGAAAGGGTAAGAGAGGACAAGAGAGGGGAGGAGGGGAGATAGGCAGGCAGTCTGGCAGGCTGGAAGGAAAGAAGGAAGGAAGGAAGGAAGGAAAGAAGGAAGGAAGGAGAGGGAGGGAGGGAGGGAGGGAAGGAACTATAATCTCAGTGATTCAGGAATTATTATCGAGTAAAATGAATACAGTATATATGAGAATGTCTTATTCATGTACTATTTTTTAGTAGGTGGGCTAGAAGTACAGCTCAATGGTACCATGGTTGCCCAACATCTGCAAGCCAGGTGAAGAGGGGGGAAATAAATACTGTAAAATTTATAGTGGATAACTTAAAAACAAACTAAAAAATATTTTCATTGTGGCAAGAATCGCTTTTAAAACTTTACAGTAATTTCCTCTGTGTCCACATGGCTCAAATTAAAATACTGTTCAAGATGAAGAGAAAATGTTTTGATTCTTTTCAGGCTCATTTTTAAAGCTAATCCATGTAATATCTTGGAAGAAAACCAGTAAGCATGCTCTTCTCCATGCATGACCCTACTTTACCCACCCAGTCCCCCCTAGCTAGCTTAGACCTTGAGAATAAAAGATTTAGTAAAGCAGAGCAAGACCAAACAGTTCTAAGGTTAGTGTTGTAAACATTATCCCCACCTTTGGTCCTCAGCTCCACCCAGACCTGAGCTCCTCCCAGTCCTGGAGTTCCCCACCATACAGCTGGCCCCTCCCTCTCTGCCCAGACCCACCAGAGCTCCCACCTACCTTACCTCCTACCCCCACCCCCAGCCCCTCCTGCTACCTGGATAGGGACAGATGCCATGTGCTCTCTTTCCAGGGGAAATATGACTCCTCTAATAAACATTGTAATAATCTTTCTCCTGTGCCTGCCTGCCTGCCTCCGCGTGGTCCCCTGGGATGGATGTGATGGAGCCTTTCAAGTGTCAGATCAGAAAACCTTACCTCAGACTCATCTGTAGATTCTTCAAGAGATCCAGTGTCCTACAAGGCAGAGGAGGGAATGGTCAGGAGAGAAAAAATAAAACACATCTGTGTCCTACATCTAAATCCCATGTGGCCTTTCTGGAAGTTATCTGTAACTGCACTTTAGAGGACCCTGTATGCTGGCCTACTGCATACCTCTTACTGCTTATCCACACCCTGGCAGGCATCAGCCTCCTTACTTTGGGGCTGCCTCAGCCTCCAGGATCCACACTTCTATTTTCCCCAAAATTTGACAGCCAAGGACCATTTCATCCAGCAAAGCAGCCTCACTGATCTTGAGGGTGAAATACTATCAACAAACCATCTAAAGTTCATTTTTATGCAGATATCTCTGCATTACTCATCCTCATGCTGTTAATCTAGTTGAATCAAATGACTATCTTGCTTAAACAGTGTTTTTTTTTAAATAAAGAAACTTCCCAGCAATGGCACCTATGTGGTCCAGCACAAAAAGACTGAATAATTTACATGCACACTACACCATTGGCTCCAAGACAAATTCTGCCCTTTAGCAGAGTTCCTCTCTTGCTAAACAATGAATCTTGCTGCCATGGAAGAAACAAAGCAAAAAGGGAAAAATGGACTTGATCTTGCTAATCTCTCACCCATCCACTGAAAGACAGAATTTGCTGACACCATGCGTCCTCCAAGAGGTCAGCAAGATGAAGATTTACTTAACGTACTTATAGATATCAATAGCAATAAAAGGTTACTGCTAATATGCTGACACAGAATGTAAGCATTTTACAACAATCCATGAGATGAGGAAAGAAAGAATGAAAACAAATGGGCAAGGACAAATTAGATTTAATATTTCTTCAAGGAAAAAAATGAAAATTTTAAAGAAAACCGGGTACATTTTTTCTTTACTCACTTAGGACTCAATAACAAGATAAGTTCAACTTATTTGACATATTCTAATGGTTTAAAAACTGTTTATTTCATCATCAAATAGTAAGAAAGCTGAGCGCTGACAGCTCACGCTTATAATCCTAGCTACTCAGGAGGCAGATGATTGCAGCACAAAGCCAGCTTGGGCAGAAGTCTCCAGTTAACCACTAATAAAAGCCAGAAGCGGAACTGTGGCTCAAGTAGACGAGCACCAGCCTAGAGCAAAAAACTAAGGAATAGTGCCCAGGCTCTAAATTCAATCCCCAGGATCCTAGCTTCTTACAAAGCTGCGAACAAGAGATCAACCCAAACAGAGAAGTCTTTGAGAGACCATCTCAATGCAAGAGGCTAGGTATGACAGTATGCTACAGTATCATTTCAGTTATGACAGTAAGCCAAAGGCTTCCAGTGGAACAAAGACCTCCAGAAACAAACATACCTAGACAAACAACTTATCTTTCTTCTTTTTTTTTTTAACCTTCCTTTTGCAAAGCAATTCCTCAAGCTCAAATCATCTATTAATGATCTCTACACCATGACATGCAACTTCCCCATCATATTTATCAGCTGCCACCTGGATTATCTTCCCAAAGCACGGATTATGCTGATGAGTGCCTTTCCTCAAAGAGCCCTCCACAGTCTTCATCCTAAACAACAGAATTCAGATATCCCAGCAAGGTAGTCTGACCCCGATTGTCCCTCAGCCTTTTGGCTAAGGTCAAATGCAGCCAGACAAGAGATTTTTAGCTCTTCTACTCTATCCACAAACTTAGGCACCTCCTGCCATAAATGGTGGCCTTCTCAATGAGATATCAACTGCTCGTGTCTCTAAATCAGCCTGGTAGCAAAATGCTAGCCTGGGATTGGAGGTTGGTGCACAGGTATTGTGTACGGCTCCATGAAAAAAAAAAAACAAGTCGTTTAAGGATTCAGGTGGACCTGTTGCAACAATGAGAAGTACAAAATGTCATGTCAAAAACGAGCTTTACAATGTTGGTGTGGGGGGGGAGGGGGGGAAGGACTGGGGGGGAGGGGGGAGGCTGGGAAGGGAGGTGAAGGGTAAACAAAGGAGGAGGCTGCAATGCTTGGTAAGAAATGTATGCATTATCCTGCCCATGTAATTGTAACCCCTCTGTACAGTATGTTCTCAAATAAAATAAAATAAAATTTAAAAAATAAAATAAATACCTAAGAGTTGGAAAAAAAAAAGAATATGTCTACACAGTTTCCACTGTACTTCACTGAGAACTTAGCAGCTATGCCGGCAATGGAATCCATTTCTCCCCCAACATTATTCCTAATATTTTTCTTTTTTTAATCAGTCATGGGGCTTGAACTCACCTGGGCACTGTCCCTGAGGTCTTCAGCTCAAGGCAAGCGCTCTATCTCTTGAGCCACAGTGCTACTTCTGGTTTTCTGGTGGTTAATTGGAGATAAGAGTCTCACGGACTTTCCTAGCCCAGGCTGGCTTTGTACCATGATCCTCAGATCTCAGCCTCCTGAGAGCTAGGATTACAGGCGTGAGCCACTGACGCCCAACCATTCCCAATATTTTATATGGGGGCAATCCATTTCTGCCATTGCCACCTGCTGCTCTGAACTTGTGATCTTTGTCAAAGCTTCTCTGACCCCATTCCCTCTACTGAGCCAGTCTATGGCCCATCTTAGCACTTGTGCTAATATGAATCCAACTCCCAGAACCCTGGGGGGAGGGGAGAAGGATGCTGCCAGGCAAGCCAGCTGTCTCACAGTCTCATGTTGCCAATCTGAGGTTTAAAGTTTGAAAATCACCAGCTATTTCTAAATGCTCACCTTCTTTCACAGCCCAACCTAGGACTTGCCCCCTTCAGCGAATTGTGTCCAAACTGCAAGCCCAAGCCACAAGGTCCAGATCTGGTGTCCTATGGCCTTTCTTTTTTCTGACTGTTCAGTTCAAAGCACCTAAGACCAAGTCTTATTCTCATCACAACTATTTTAAATGCATTTTGTGGATAAAATTGAAGGCTCTGGCCTTCTGTCTCCCACTGTGCTACTCAAGGTCTTCACTCAGCATGTTTGCTGATGATGGCAAGAAGAGACGTGCAGGGACTGAAAACAGGAACTCTGCTCCACCACTCACACCCAGAATTCTCCCTAATGAGTAACAAGTACCTTGTCCCCACACAGAGTTGAACCTGCCTCATGACAGTTACAAGAGGGGATCCCAAAGGAAGGCAACAACAAACAAGGACAAAGTGATTCCAACAGTGTTTACAACCCAGCAGGCCCACTGTGCGCTCAGAAAACCCATGGAAAGGCTTTCAACCAACATCCATCTCTAATGGTGGAGCCAGAACAGGCCTGACAGTGGTGTGGGAACCAAGCACAGGGGGCCCCAGAGGCCAGGAGGGGTTAAGAGGTAGTCCAGGAGAGAGAAGCCAGGCCCTCCCTAAAGGACTAGTGACACTGCCAGGATTTGGCAAACATACACATTTTTGAGAACTGGGGGGAGAATGAGGGGCTGAAGCATGAGAGCAGCTCCACACTGTGCAGGAGGCTGACATGGGGTTATGCTGTATGAAGAAAGACAGCAGAGACCCAGTCGCAGGGAGTCAGGCTGGGCAAAAGATGGATATGAGATACTCCACATGGTACAGCTACCTTCCCTCCCTTCCAAACTAACTATGTGTCTAGCTGAGCTTATTGGGAAAGAGGATTATGATGGATCCCCAGGTCTGGCCTGGCCTTAGGAAGGAGGAAATATTTTTCAAAACTCAAAGGAACAAGTTTAGGGCACATAGAAACTAGGCAGGTTGAGTAGGAAAGATAATGGAGTATCTGGGGAGCTGGCAAGAGTACAAAAACAAAGAGTACAATGCACTCAATCCACTAAACCCAACTAGTTCATGCATTCTTATTGTACAAAGGAAGAAAAACCTTGAGATCTGCCCCAGTGTGGAAAAGGACAAGACTATACTGACACCCTAAATCAGAATCAGGATGAGCTAATTCGTATCCATTAATATACTTCAGATTCAGATTCAGCAGGTTTAAAACAAGGAGCTTGCATTAGTTAACAAAAACCACAAAGAAGGACGTCAAGAACAGACCAAGGCGGGTGTGAACGAACCACTAGGAAAGGGTCCTGCCCCAGATACAGAAACCCTACTCAGATGGGTGCCACCTCTCCATGGTGGTAACATGACAGGGTGCTATGGAGACCAAGAAGAAGCACATCAGCCCCCAGCCAACTCACATGAAATAGAAAAACTTACAAAGGAATAAGTGCAGGCTAACTTGAGACTACACTTTAATTTGAGGATAAAGAAAAGGCCCTCTAAAAAATCTGTTGATCCTGTATTCATAACTTTTTTTTTATTGTTAAAATCATTTTTCTTGTCCTAGGGCTTGAACTCAGGACCTGGGACTCAGGACTCTTTCACTCAAGGCTACTGTTCTAGCACTTGAACCACAGCTCTACTGTTGGCTTTTTGGTGATTAATTGGAGGTAAGAATCTCATGGACATTCCTGCCCAAGCTGGCTTTGAACCATGACCCTCAGATATCAGCCTCCTGAATATCTAAGATTACAGGTATAAGTCATTGCTGTTTGGTGGTAAAATTGTTTTTAAAAGATTTGTCTTGGCCAAAATATAAACAAAGAGAACTGTACATATATAAGCTGAGTCCAAACTTGGATGATTCATCTTTGTCCTATTCATAAGCTAACCATTTTAACCACATTAATACCTTCTATCATATTTCATACTGGCAAGAAGACTTAGGTACTCAAATATGTATAAGCTAATAACCTAACAGAGTATACATGAGCATGAATGTGCCACTTGATAACCCATAAGTGTCTATAATAAACATAAAATTAAATTTCTATAATAGAGAGGTAAAGTAGAAACTCTCCCATCTAGTCAAGGAATAGATGGTCTGATTGCACAAATACTGTAATGGGTCATGTTCAAGGCTCTTTGTGCCCAGAAAATGAGAGGATATCTCTGTGCACAACTATTAAAAGATGATATAAATTAATTAGATAAGCACTAATTTAAAAAGGATATCCAGAATGACAAAAATGAAGGATGCAGAAGATGTAACCTATATTACGTTTGAATTATTAATATTCTAGTTTCAAGTCAGATAAAAAATTTCTACTGATCCTAATTTACAATTTGACAATTAGGAGTTATTCTAATAAATGCATTTAGACACCAAGAATCTGGAAAGCCATCAGCTCTGTGGAAGACACAGACATGAGTAAGCACTAGTCCTTAATTCTTGAGGACTCAGCAATCCCTGGGGAAAGATAAGACAAATACACAAACAGCCAGACTTCAAGCTGAGCGTTATTCATGAGAAGAGTGAAAAAATTCTGTTGGGCATCCATGATTACGAAGGCCAACTATAAATCGTTTTGGAGCTAAGTAAAACTGCTGGTTAGAAGATTGCCTGGCAGAATGTAGCATATTAGTTCTTTCTGTGAACTATAAAATATAAATACTTTTGCAAACTTCCTCATATATTCAGCAAAAGCAAGGAATCCTCAATTGCTTTAAAATATCTGGTCATACTTTAAGAAGTTACTTTAGTTTTAGACTCTGTAAGTTGTTTCTATAAGTATGTTAACTTTCTGCAGATGTTACTGTTTGGGTCATTTCAAAAACTAAAAGCAGGGAACTATCACAAAAGAATACAACTCAGGGGCTGGGAAGATGGTTCAGTAGTAGAGTGCTTGCCTAGCATGCATGAAGCCGTTGGTTTGATTCCTCAGCACCACATAAACAGAAAAAGCTGGAAGTGGCATTGTGGCTCTAGTGGTAGAGTGCTAGCCTTGAGCAAAAGAAGCTCAGGGACAGTGCCCAGGCCCTAAGTTCAAGTCCCAGGACTGGCTAAAAGAAAAAGAAAAGAAAGACAGAAAGAAAAAAAAAAAGAATACAACTCAGGAAAGTCAGTGTTGATAGGTCCAGGTTTTTGTTTGGCACCAGGGAAAATACCTTCTTTTGCCCTCACCATCTTGTTATCTAAGTTCATTTACTACAAATCTCAAGGCCTAAAACACTCAGGAGAAAAAAAAGGCGTCACTGTCATGACTTCCAAAAAGGTTTACAGTGGCAGAACAGAACAATTAGCAAATTTCAATATTCCATTATTGTCACTTTTGACCTTCAAAAAATTAATGAAAGCCTGCTATCAGTTTTTAATGACTTTCTCCTATGAAATTAACTCAAAACACAAGCTACCACAGAGTGAGCAAAGCCAAACTATTTTTAACTTTTAAGGGACTAACAATATAAGAACACTTATGTGTTGGCTTTCCTTACAAGAAAAAAAAAGGGGGAATAGATTTTATGTCAGTCTCTTTCTGCAATTGACATCAGACCACTGGTCTTTTCTAAGAGCGACACTGACACGACATAGGAGGCTAATGCTCATTCCAGCCCTGTACTGCTGCTTACATATCAAAGGTGGAATAATGGCTAGAAGGATAACCACTTAGGTCATAGGTGCTAATTCTATTTCATAAACAACAAAAACCAAAAAAAAAAAAGTTTCATTACATATTTTTTAAAGCAGGATGCTTTAGTGAAGAAAAAAATCATGAACTCTGGAGACAGAAGACTAAAATCTACTAAAGATGTACGCCTGAATATGTTCTTCAAGTCAAGTGAAGTTTAGCTAGTTAAGAACCAAGTACAACTTAAGTACGAAGCAATAATCCAAATATGCCATATAATTTATACTCTAATAGAATATACACAATGATATGGGAAGTAAATAGAAATTTTACAACACAGTATGTCAAAGAGTAGTGAGCATAGGAAAAAATAATACAGGAAGGAGGCCTCAAAGACTGGTCAGGAAGAGTCTCGGTCAGGAAATGATAGAAAGCCCTGAAGATATGAGGTCCCTAAAGGAAGATTAGCCTTAGCAAAGGTCCTGATGTAGGAACATGCCTTACTGGTTGAAGGAAGGCCATGTGGCTGATACAGTGACAAGAGGGGAGGAGCACAGTGAAAAATAAGAAGAGAAATGTGGCATAAGAGGTGGCAGGGACAAGGTCTTCTAGGCCAAACAGGCTACTGTAAGAACACTGGCAATTACTAAGCATGATGGGAAAGCACTAAAAGGTTTGGACATAGGAGGTATTTGGTCTCATTTACATACCAGTATAAACATGTACCTCAGAATTCTTTGGACAGGAACAAATGCAATGTGAAAGGGATTTCTAAGCTTTTAAAGTGCTGTAAATATGGGAAACTTATCCTCTCTTGATATGATGATATATAGATAAATATCTAGATAGAGCTATACCTCACATTAGACAGCTTTGCAAACATGTCTTCCACACAAGAGTGGTAAACATCAAGGACAAATCTTTCCGTTTCCCTACACTGCATCTAAGAACTTAAATAACTTGTTTTATTTTGTTTTTAGTTGAGGGGAGGGTTGTTTTTATAGTAAATCATGAACAACTACAACTCAATATGACATAATAAGAATGAAGTGACAAACAATCTCATCACTAATCAAACTGAGCAGTAACAGGAAATGGTGCATTCTTAGTGTTTTCCCTTAGACTGGTGGAGTGACTCAAGTGATAGAGTGCCTGCCTAGCAAGTTCTACGCTATGAGACTCTAAGTTCAAACCACATTATCACACACACACACACACACACACATACACACACAAAAACATTTTCCTTTGATCTGCCCAGAATAGAAGAGGGGAGGCAAAATGTAAGAGATTTTGTTATGAAAAACACCAACCAAACTAAATTTCTACTTGGCCAAATTTCTTCATTACTCCTATATATAAAGTGTACATATGGCATTTTTAACTATGAAAGTATCATACAAATGATAAAACTTACTAAATAAGTAAATGTCTGATATTAAATAGCTCACCATCACATCACTTTTTAGAAGCAATCACTCATGGAATAGTGAGGGAAAACTGCTTCAAAGTGAAATGACACTAAAAATGGAAACTTCTGTGATCTCTCTCAAGGTCTGGCCTATTCTCTTTTTTCTCATCCTGATTTAATTTTGTCCTTCCATCATGTAGCCACCATCATCGCTGCATAAAAACAATACATTATTTCATTATACATCTCTACCAGAACTCCAATGCTATGTCACTAGTTGTTGACTGGACACTGCCATCTTTATATATTGCCTTCTTTATATAAAATTAATGGAAGGGAAGGGGAAGAAAGGAAGATAAGAGGAGAGAGGAAGGAAAAGTAGGGAGGGAGGGAAGGAAAAGGAAGGGAAAGGAAAGAAGGAAGGAAGGAAGGAAGGAACTTTAAATTAAGGGGGAATATGTTGTAAATATGTTATCTCCAGTGGAAAATAGCAAAAATAAGTCGATTAAACTTTCACTGCGCCCAGCCCTTTGAAGCACTTTATAAAGTAATTCCACCTCCACGTCTTCTCGAAGGACAGACCAAGTATTATCTCCATCTTGTATCTGAAAGCTAAATAGTTCAGTCACGCCTTTTTCTTTTTCTTTTTAAGAGTAGGCACTAGCTTTGTGCGAAGGCTCGCCTGCTCCAATCAGTACTTAATCCCGGCTTCACTTCCCGTCACCTGCCTGGGCTCTGGACCTACAGCCAACAGGAACAAAACACAACACTCTTCACCTACTCTCCCATCTCCCACGGTGCTCGGGGTTGACCTCAAACCTCAAGACATCCCTTCCCGCTCCCCCGGATAGCAGGTCCAGGGGATGGCAGGGCCTGGCTCCAGGACAAAACCTCACGGACACCAGAGGCTGAGAGGCCGGAACCGAGCAGAGGACGCGACCGCAGGCAGGCCGCCCCCGACCTGGGGGCGGGGCGCTCTCCCCAGGCCCGCCCGGCTCCCTAGGAGGAACTTCCGCCGCCCTTCCCCATCCCGTCCCGGGCCGGCCTCGCTCTCCCGCAGACCTCCGCGCGCCGCCCCGCGCCCAGACTACAGTCCATCTACCCGATCCTTGTGCTCAGAACCAGCGCGGGCAGCTTTACCTGTTCCTCAGCTTCCGCCATGGTGCTGCCGGGGAGTCACATGACCTACCCGGAAGTGAGGAAGCCCCGGCGCTTGGCTCGAGGCCTGCTGGGAAATGTAGTTTCAGCCGCACCTGCCATGGCCACTTCATCTAGCTCGGAAAAGTAGTTGAGCTTGGAGAATGTTGCTCTGGAGAATGGCTTTGGAGAATGCAGACAGAACCATTGCTGATGCTATGATTTGTTCTGTTGTTGTTCTGCTTATAACGTTTATTAAGCACATGCTCTAAGAGCGAGCCCCGGGTTTATAGGTGGCATTAAGTTGTTTAGACCACTCCACAATTCCTTTTTGTTATCCCCATTTGTACGAAAGAACAGCGTGCCCCAGAGGTCACACTAGAGTCAAACTCTGTCCCTGTCTGATGCCAAAATCTCATTTTCATCAAGGTCTGTTCAGACTAATATTTTTGCCACCCTCCACCCCAGTCCCTTTCTTAACTATATTAAATGACTGTAAAGTGATTTTTTTTTTTTACCTTGAAAAGCCAACATAATATTTAACTTGTACTACTGGCTACTTTAAAATCCATCCTTTTGACATAGTGAAGTAAGATGGCTGAGCCTAAATAATTTCATGCAGCCACCCTGGTGCTTAGGAAGGAGACTGGAGGCTCTTCACCCAGCTCCAAGGCCTAGAGGTGAGTGAGACAAGCCATCCTCTAAAGTGCAGATGCCTGGCTCTCTGGGCTGAGCTAGAAGGGCTCTGTTTTGGAGAAATGCAGAAGTCATAGCCTTAGGAAAGCTGAATGCTCTGATTCTGCATTCATTAGCTTCCTAATTGGCTTGAATCACCAGCTTCTGAGTAGCCTCTAGGTAGAGCCTATATGGTAGGTTAAGGCCTATCTTGCCTAGATGGAAAAGTTTCATTGATACCTGAGTATGTTCATTTAAGGTCTGGCAACTTGTCTTCATGGTGGGGGAGGGTGATGCACCTGCCGGCTCCTCTCACATCCCCCACCAAGTGATAGTCCTTCCTGGATCTCTAGAGACAGGGGTGGGCATTTGGCTGAAAGGTTGCTGAATCTGTCAGTCCAGTGCTTGGGACTGGACTGTGTCCTGTGACCCTTCCCCCCCTACCCAGACCCTATTTAGGCCTGGACCAGCTTAGGTGCAGGAACGCCATGCCCTGTGTCTTTCTGATCCAGGCCTGTGTCCTGTCTCCTGGCTCATCTCCCGTCATCATGATGTCCCAATTCAGCTCTTCATCGGAGCTGAATTGGCTTGTTGGTATTATTTTTGTTCTTTCCTCTCTGACATGTTTCCTAGCTGTGTTATGTGGGGCTGCAAGCCTTTGTAAAAACTGTATTATAAAGACTCCAATATTTCATATTCCAAAATGTGGCTTCTGGGATGATTTGCCTTACACCAATAGGAACACTGAACTTTTAAAAAGCTATATTGTTATTTTGCTAAACATTTGTGTGGTGTCTTTTATAGGCAAATATTCAAATAAGATATAAACATGTGGTTTATAGTATCTGTAAAACTGCTGTATCACTACCATCATGAGTTCTATTTTAATTCTTCAGATATCTGTGCTGACTTGTCCGGAAACCGTATTTTCTACTCTACAATTACTTGAGTAGTTGGCTACTCACAGAGAACTTCATAGTGGGAAACCTGTGACAGATGCCTCTATGTCTTTTTTTTTTCCTCTTTTCCTTTTTTTTTTTTTAACTTCCCGTGCCACATTGACTCAGGACTCTGTTTCTCTAAGTCTCTAGCTGTGGCTTGCAGAACCTCTAATTTGTCAGTGGTTTAGAAGCCAAATCAATGACATCTTCCTGATACTTGTCTTCTCCTAAAGCCTAAATAACTTCCAAACCCTACTGAGGTCCCTTTTCCAGACTGCTAAACTCTCAGCCACAGGGCTTGGAAAGTAGACAGACTGAAGCATTTAGGCATACATAGGCAACCACCACTACCCTGAATTTCAGCCTATCCATCCAAGAGTTTCTCATATTTGTTACGAAGCAACCCAGGATCAAACATTCCTTAAGATGAACCCCAAGTCTAGAAAGATATTTATATACAGCAAAGAGTATAGAAAGAATCTGAGTAGTCTCCAAAGGAAATAGAAATAAGCCTAGCTGTTCTCTACTTTCTTCACAAACTGTCAATTTCCTTTTTCCATTATGAGCTAGATCTACCCAGAAACTTCTAGGCCTACAGCTTTTTCAAATTGACAATCTCCTCTGCTTGGTGAAACACAGACGTGATCAGGATAAGGAAGGGAAAGGAAAATAGGCAATTATTATGGCTGTCTCCCCCTCCCCAGCCCCAAGGTATTTTTGTTTTATTGCTCAATTTTATTTTGGAGAGGATAAGCCAAACAGCACCTCCAGAAAAAAAGAGTGATTAAATGCTGCAGAAATTGCCACTGAAATCCAAAACAAGATTTTGCTTTTATTCTCTGAAAATTCTGTTTTTCTTTCCAACAGTCATGGCCCTTTAAACTTTTGAGGCCTGTACAATCCAAGGAAGATGCTGGCTTTTATCTCTCCTTGTAGGCTGGCACACTGCCTGTTAACCTTGCCTGGCCTCTGAAGCCAACCAACCAAGCTGTACCACTGAATCTGGTTCTGTGCCTATGATACTGGTGGGGGGAGGGGGGGCGGGGGGAAGGGAGGGGAAGGCAGGCATCAAAAGCCTTACACGAAAAGATCTGTTGAGACTACAAATCAGCCCCTTGCCATGGTCACTGCTCCTGACATTCCTATCATTTTTTTCCTCCCTGGTAGACAGAGAGCCCTGGGTTTAAATGTAGAATCTTCCCAACAAATTCTTCAAGAGACATACTTCTTTCATCTGTCACTCAGATTCTGCTGGGAGACTTCCTCATCAAGATTGCAAACTAAATTGGATGCTTACTCTGGGCTCTTCTAGGCTTTCTACTTTTCCAACAAAAATTCTATCATCAAGCCAGGTACCAGTGGCTCACACCTGTAACACTATCTACTCAAGAGGCTGAGATCTGATGATCATGGTTTGAAACCATCCCAGCAGGAAAGTCCTTGAGACACTTATCTCCAGTTAACCATAAAAACAGCTAGAAGTAGAGCTGTGGCTCAAGTGCTAGAATTCTAGCCTTGGGCAAAAAGGCTCAAGGACAGTGCCCAGGCCCTGATCAAGCCCCAGAACTGGCACACACACACACACACACACACACACACACACACACACACACACACACACAAATTATGTCATCTGTTTTCTTTACTTAGTTATAATTCAAGATCACTTTCCAAAACATTGTAAAATATGTCCTGAAACATTATTTTAATGGCACCTGTTATAATCGCATTCTATGAAAAATTCATAATTCATATTGTTATTCTTTTTTGTATACTTTGATTATAAATAGGTAATTAGCATTACTGTTGCCCAATTTGTAAATATTTCCTCAGAAAAGTATGTTGAAATATAATAGTTTGGTCATTGCAGCCTTGGAAGTTATCATAAAAGTTATCATAAAAGTTCACTGAAACGGGCTGGGAAGGTGGCTCAGTGGTAGAGCGCTTGCCTTGCATGCCTGAGGCCCTGGGTTCGATTCCTCAGCACCACATAAGCAAAAAGAAAAAAGCCGGAGGCAGCGCTGTGGCTCAAGTGGTAGAGCACTAGCCTTGAGCTGAAGAGCTGAGGGACAGCGCCCAGGCCCAGAGTTCAGGCCCCACAACCGGACCAAAAAAAAAAAAAAAAAAATTAAAAAAAAAAAAGTTTACTGAAACGCAGTGATTTTGAGTTATTGGGTTTTATTCATCTTTTGGATTCATGCTATGTGTTTTTCTAACAAGTAGTTCAAATCTTGTTTGAGTGTTCTTCAGACAAATGAGCAACCAACTTGCTTGTGATCTTGTTTCTAATATTGTTAATAGAGAAGCACAATACTAATTTTTTAAACTTATAGAATGAATTTAATCTTTTCAGAATCCAAATATATTTCACTGTGCCAGGAAAATGTATTATTTTCCGAAGAACATCTTTCATTTTCAATCAAAATTGTGAAGCAAAATATTAAGCACTCCTGCTCTTGGATTCAAATATGATTTGTAAAGCAATGTCTATTTTTCAACTTCAGGTATGCTTGCAGAACAACCCTTTGTTTCCTATGTATCTTGAATCCTTTAGATAGCAGCAAAAACTTGATATATAGTAGAGAAGGAAGAGAAAGAAGAAAGTGAAAGGTCTTGCTGTGTTGACAATGGCAAGCCTCAATTTATGTTCTAAGATTTAACATTGTTATTCGGCGAGAAAACAGAGAAGCCACATTTTGAGAGGTAGAATTGGGAGTCTTTATTTGAAGGCCAGCAAATGCAGGCAAACTCCTGTCACAAAGACCTGCAGCCCTGTAAAAATACTTAACACTGTTAGAAAACTGAGACAGGAGAGCAGGAGAGGAAAGAAAGAGCAGCAGGACCAGTAACCTATTGTCCAAATCCCCACCCCTGCCTCTAAGAATTCAACCATGCCCTACATGGGAGAGGGGACTTCCCTGCCTCCACCATGAAGACAAGATGGCACCAGTTAAACCCAATACCTATCATCCACCACGTGGCTAAGATGGCACCGGTTAGATTCAGCATCTCTACTTCAACATAACCAGTATGTTAATGGGTTGGAATTTAATATACACTTAAAAAAAAACCCAGTAATACAAATGCTTCTAGTCAGGAAGCCACAATGCAGTTGAATCTATATACAATATGAAAATAATAGAAAATATTATTCTACCGTTAAAAGTAATCACTTTTTAACTTCCTACTTTTTGAACCTACTTCCAATATTAGTTTATAAACAAAACCAAATCTATTTACCACAGAGCTCATGTTTATTACTGTGCTGGGGCGTGAACTCAGGTTTCTAGCTTACTCGGGGGTAGTCTGCCACATCAGCCACAAACTTAGTCTTGTTCTTGTTATTTTTTGAACAGGGACTCACTATTTGCCTGGACATGTATGGACCATAATCCTCTTATTTATGCTTCTTCATAGCATGGCTGTCATGTACCCACAACGGAACCCAGCTTCTTATTGGAGAAGGGCTCTTAGGAGCTTTTTTTGTTTTTCCCAGATTGGCCTTGAACTGTGTCCAATCTTACTTTCCCTAGTAACTGGGATTACAAATGTGAGCCACAGTGCTCAGTTTTTTATCTTTATTTTATTGTGTTTCTGGGAGTATCTCTGTCATCTTTTGGGCCAAGAAGGCTTGACTATGACCACTAGGTAGCTTATTCGCCATTTATGACAATGTTATCATATGAAAACAGAAACTTAGTTACAAGACAGTGACTTCATTTCGAAGTGTAAAACCTTTTGATGGTTGCTTTAAGGGAGAAATGACTTTGACCACTCCTAGAGAAGTTGTGTCCCTTGAAAAAGGGAGCGACTGGAGGAGAACATAAGAAGGAAAATTTGTCATAAAATGAGCAAGCAAGCTAATTCCACAATGGAAAAATGAAGCCAGATCTTCCTGCTTAGATAAACCCTATGAGAGTCCCCTGTGGTCCAGTTGAGGTCTGCACCTCCAGGCTCAACCAGGCTCACATCAAGAAATTTCACAAGTGAGGAGGGTGTGGAGTGTAAGTTCTGAGCAC